TTATTTACTAATAGTTTATTATAATTTCGACAGAATTTAGACAGTCACTAAGGGATTTCAGCAAGCAACCTTACTTAGTATAGTGACAGTTCTATAGCAATACAGTACTAATATCCTATAGCAATTTGATTGAGTATCCAATAATATATAAAATAAGTATTATAACAAGATTAATAATTATAAAATCAATTAATGTATAATTTTATTAACAATAAACAAGAAGCAATTTATTGATTAGCTAGATTTTGTATTGATCAATTGATATCTTTTGGTTTATCCAAAAGATTCTTTATTTATATAAAATAATTTATAATTAAATTATTACAATGTGAGATATGTTATACATGTAAGATAGATATGATATAATGGATAATGTTAATATTTCTGAGAACTCTGTTATCTCTGCTATCTCTATAATCTATGTTTAGTCACATGATTAGAATTGAGATTTTAAGAAATTAAAAATAATTCTGAACCATAACAATATGATTATAATAAAATTAATTATTAAGTATAAGAATATGAAAATAAGAAAAATTTGTTCATAGGGAACTAGGATATAATAATCAGAATAATAATTATTATACATATTATTTTCATGAGAGAATAATCAGAATTTTTATAATATCAAATATAAGTAACTTATTTTTTTTATAATTCAAAATATTCCAAATATTTTACATTCTACTTCTGATTATTATATAAAAGAATATAATAATTAGAGATATATATAATGCATAAAACAATAAGAATAATTTATATATTGTTATTAAATCATAAAATTAAAGTTTTAAAAAAATACATTAATTATGATAATAATAATAATGATAATAATAGCAATGATAATAATAATAATAGTAATAATGAACATGAAAAATAAATAATAATTTGTAATTTTTATTATAATTATAATTATTATAATTATAATTATTATAATTATAATTATTATAATTTAAATACTTCAGATATAGATCAACACAAATTCTAATTGACTATGTCTTTTATAGATTGGTAAAGCTCTAAGTTGGATATTGTATGTTCATCAAATAGTGATCTGTATTATACATGTGATAGAATTAATTTTATCTTTTTCCCATGCCGGAATTACCAAATGTGGGAATACGGAAACATGTATAGTTTGCATTATCGATTTTTAATCACGAAAGATCCAACAAGCATGCAAATGATTGAAATTATTATGCCCAATTTATGTGCAATCATTAATTTGCATAAAAAATACATCAACGCCACTTGAATTTCCATCGGATACACGTGATTAAAAATCACGTGCCGTGCACTTACGGAGAAACATCAAATATAACGGGACTTGAAAATTGTTGCACGTGTAGAATATGGAGAATGTGCATTTAGCATTATGATCCCAGCTTGGAACTAAATTAAAAGGTGCATTTAGAGAGGGTGTGCACTTATAGAGGGTGCATTTAGGGGGGTTTGTCTATATTTAGTCCCATCTCAAGTTTAATCATGTGAGACTCAAAATTTTCCTGTTCCAAACGAAAATGCCAAAATGTCTATAAGAGAGAATTTTGATTCAGGGCAAGGATTTTCTCTAGATACGCTAGCGGGGCCTAATACTTTCGAAACTGCCTCAACTCATCCCTCTTCAGTTGAGAATGAAAGCTGTTTTACCTGCAAAAAAAAAGTTGACATCGCTCAGCGAGTAGCTTTCGTTAGCGGTTTACACATATGTCGCGCTTGTGGTTTGAACCTTTTTCATCTTGCAAAGCTCTTTAGGCAAAAACCTAGAAGTATAGTAAGTAAATCGATCTTGTGCTCACTATTTTTGTAGCCGCTTTTTTCGAATTGACGCATGTCGAGCCTGACGAACAAAACGTAGTTTCTTCACAAGTTGCTCAACCAATTGTCATGCCGCCAACCATAGTATTTGAGAACTTTTCAGAACAATTGGAGCAAGCTTTAGTCTTTGATCCAGAGATTGAATATTTTCCTGACTTAACCAACGCGCCAGATATGCCTTCGCAAGCCTCAACATCTTTTAAACCTTCAGAATCTTTAGAAACAATGGAGTTAGTTGCTTTCGAACCTATAGAGTCCATGGAAGTGGATGAACAGAGAACGCCTTTAGAATCAACGACCGTATATGCAAATCAAGAAAAACCAGAAAATGAATCAGATAGTTCGGACGAGGAGCAAGCCAATTGGAAGCGTGAGAGAATAACCGAAAAACGGCGACGAAAGAAACATCAAATGCTCATCTTTCCTGCTGGCTGCTCGAATTGTAAAGTTCGAGAGTCATCGTGTTTCACTAATACTCTTTGCAACGGATGCTGTAAATATATTTTTGCCATGTATCATTTTTTTTGTTTGCTTCAAATATGCCAAAAAAGATTCTAATGCAATTTACATTTACAGATAAATTCTGGAAGCTTTATAATACGCACAGGTCACTACATAAGATTGCAAACAGTGACTTCGAATATGAAACTGATGAAGATCGTAAACGAAACACTCGAGTTAGAATCGTGCATTACCCACCCGGATGCTCCAATTGTGGTTTAACATCTTCCCTGGCATTTGTAGGCGGTGCGTGCCACGCTTGTTGTAAGAAAAAATTTCAATCAATAATCTTTTTTGCGTTTGTTTTTTTACAAACAATCATAACATTTTTGTTTGATCATTTATATATAGACGTGTACTTTAATCTTTACAAAAAGACGCGTCCATTGGAAGTTATTCAGAAATGGAAAGAAAAAAACATGAATGCTTACCAAAGATTCAGACCTATAAGGAAGTCAATACATAAGACTCCATGCGCGAATTGTGGAGAAATTTATGGCAAGCAGTGGGGCTATGATGACGATTCTCGGTTGCTTTGTAGCACATGCCGTAAGAATTTTATTTGATAAAATATATTGCTTCAAGATTTCTGTATACTGTGATGTAATTAATGATTTTCTGTTCTAGATAAATATTGGCTCAAGTATAAAAAATCGCGTCCAAATATTCTAATCGAAAGGTCTAATCAGAAAAAGATAAAAAAAGCAAGAGCGAAACAAGTTAAGAAAAAGCGTCTCGAGAAGCTTGTCAACGAAGCGGGGCCTTATGACATTGTAGCTCATACACCTTGCACCAATTGTCGAGCTCAAGTATCTTATTATTTCAAGGATGGTTGTTGCTGTCTTTGCTGTAAGAAAATTTTCGAGAATTTTGATTGATTTCCGTTCAAATAGCTACTGGGGGTAAATTTCTAAGTTCTTTTGATTATTTAGATAATTGGTATTTAAGATTCAAAGAAGAAAGGCCTACAAATAAAACTACAGAAAAAGAAAAGCTTGAAGAGTTCTTCAAAAAGAATGTTCACCTTGAAGATTTCGATTGGACAAACTTAACTGATCAGTAATTATCCGGATTCAATTAATCCTTCTTTTATCATTATTGCTAGTTAATTTTTTTAATAAAATTTTCGGCCCTACTTTATATATAGGCTTATTCATGATGGATGCAAGAAATACGGGGTCAACTGTGATCCAACCAAGTATAAATTACTTGCTAAAGATCTCGTCTATAATCCATACCTTCTACCAGCAAAAACAATTAGGTTAAGATGGAAGCGTCTCTGTAGATACGGTAATTATAAAATATTGGCTTTTTCGTGATATATATATAGTGTATATTCACTCATTGAAACATTACAGATCGAAATTTTATGTTACTTCGGAAAGATCATAGTCCTTTTCGAGATGAAAACGGTCGATTGTATGTAACAAGAAGCAGGTATGCCATATTCAACCAACAAAAAATCCTTTCTTTATCCAGCTATAGTTGTTTAATGCTTATACAATGTATAGGAGTAGAATTCCAACAGATGCTGCTGCCCGATTCACCATTAAAAAAGCGATCTTCAGTATGTACACAAATTCACGGGACACAAATAAAATCCATAAATTATACTTGGGGATATACGATTGCAAGAAAAAATATGAAAAAGCCACCTCTATAGTTGGTTTGAATTACTATGATGAAAAGGATGACTTTGAAATAGATGAATTTGAAAATATTATTAATGAAAACCAAGACTCTGGGTTTCAGATCAACAATATGCGTTGGGAAGCATTTGATGATAAGGGCAACTTGATCTCCAGATCTAAAAATCGGAAAGGCAAACAACCAGCTGATCCCGAAATTCTACGAAACGATAATGTGACGGTGATCAACGATGATGAAGAGAGTCAAGAGTCACAGATACCAGACAATTTTAGCAAAAAACGAGGTTATTAATTTATTTTATTACGTTATAATTAGAATAGAAATCCTTATATGTTTACTGACTATTGCTTTTTATATATAGATATTCTTCCGCGTCCCCAATTCGATGTAACCAAGAAGCCCAAAGGTTTTATCGACGACCTAAGCTCTATCATCTATAATAAAGACGAAAATAAGATTGTTTACGTCTTCAGTGTGCAATTTTTCGATTCATCTCTTGATAATCGAGATGTTCCACACGGACAGATCCAATGGCTCAAGGCGGAACGGTTAATGGAGCGAGATACTGAATACGCTCCAAAATATCCATCGTCTGTTTTGACTTTATCAAACACCAAATATTATTACCGTGATTCCATATAATTCTAATATTGTTGTTGACGATTATTATTATTAATATGTAGAAGCTTTAAAAATTACATTGTCTGAATAATTATATTAACATAGTAAAAAGCACTATATTCAAATTTCAAATACCAGTTCTAAATGCTAGAATTGAGTCATTAGTAATATGTTGCCTATTGAAGTTTTAATGCCTAATAGTTTTATTGTTCAGTAAAAATACAATTAAGTTCTCTATTGATATTAGTTTAGGAACGAAAAGCCATATAAGAATATTGATGTAAGAGTAATATACAGAGGTATCAAAATATGAGTGAAGGAAATGTGAATGTTCATTGAAGCATTACTATAAATCCATCTAATAAAATAATAAAAACTTACCATCATCATCTGCATACAAGTTAAACCAATTTTCCAAATATCCATTCTGAAGGCCACATCAGTTGGACGACTCGCATCAACAACGTTGATACTTTGCGGTGACTAATTTTTTTCCCAGACTAATAGTTGTGCTGGTATTCCTAGTATACTTGTAGTCGGAAATGGATACATTATTTGCTATGTCAAACATATCCAAGTCAGGCGAAAGCTGTGCTTCGGCTTTAATATTCAAATATTTGGTGAGAGTTTGTGTGATGTTCCAATGGATTGTTATGATTTTGTAGAGAGCTTGAATAGATGATGGTTCTAAACTTACGATTGAGAATGTTGATGATAGTGCTGCATTACTAATATTATTATTATTGCTGTTGTTATTTTCTGGAATAGAAAGAACAAAGTCAATAAATTATTAGTTTCATTTAATAATCTTCATTTACACTCACGTCTATTCCACAAAAATATTTGCTGCTGTTCAGCCGATGCGAAAATTATCACAAAGGACAAAAGAAAAAGCAAAATGAGCAATTGATTATTTTTGTAGCTCATTTTCGTAATCAGTTATTAACAGACGAAAATAACGAATACTTGATAATAGCTAATAACTAAAATCGAAAGTTATACTTTATCTCTATTTAATAAGCAAGACATAAAAATTTGATTCGAAATTCACTTGAAAAATCATCGTATGAAACATTATTTTTATGTATATCGATGAAAGGGGTGGAAGAAGAATTCTTTAATTTCAAAAATCACGACGCGTTTGAATTATTCTTTATTTGGAATTTTTGTCCGTCGCAATTCCTAATAGCATTGATTCAAATTCAAAAATAACGCAACACTATTCCGAGTATCTATTTCGAACTAAAATTCTTTTAATAGACAGTCAAAAACGGTTATTGTTATTGCCAAGTTCACGATTATAATAAATGCATAGTTATGTCCAGTTTTGATTGTATGCTTATCATTTATATTTATCATTTAATATTTATCATTTATATTTATCATTTATATTTACCGTTATCATTGTATTTTTGCCAATTTCATTTGTCAAAATCTGATACAGTCCGGATAATCATGTTGCATTCTACTGCTTGTTTGCTATATAACAATAATTTCTTACCGTTACTATTACATATTCGCTAATGACAATGACATTTTTTTTTTTGAAATATTTAATACCAATTTCCCCTGTGTTACACGAATTCCTATTGTAAATGATGTTTTGTTTATAAATCCAAAAGTGTACATTTTTTCATTCTTTAACATATTTCATAAACAAGTATAATATATAACACACACACGCACATCCACATATATAAGAGAAAGTATCTTTTCCTCAAAAATCCTTAATCATAATATCGCTCATACAACACACAATGTCGTCAGATACACTTGCATCACTTAAATCAAAGAGGAAAGGTGAACTTAAAGGTACAGTATTTTGCTATAGTAAATTTTATGTCCTATTCGTTTTTTTCGTATACTCAACACATGTACAATCGCAGCTGTGGAATAACTCTCTCTCTCTCTCCCTCTCTCTCCGCTTCTTGTATACGTGATTGTTGTTCCTAGAACTTGCAGTTAATTATGGACTAAGTACTAAAGGTCTTAGGATCGATATAGAAAATCGGATAAGGTATTTCTTGTTCTTATTAGAAAGCCTTGCCTCTTTCACAATCGATAACAATGCTTGATACAGGTTTGGACATTTACAAATTGTACTACAGAGAATATATATTAGAGCGACAAAAAGATAGTGATGATACGGACGTAAGTACTGGATACTCTGGAGAAGGAGACTCAGAAAAAGAGGTGAAACAGGCTGAAAGTAGTTCAGGACCTCCCTCACCAGTCCGGCCTTCATCGCGTGCTGCTGCATCTTCACCTCATAAAAAAACGAATGGAGATAGGTTAGTCTATTTTCGACAAATTGATATGAACGCTAATATCCACTATAGTGCAAATTTGGAAGCTTAAGTTGTTCTTGATAGTATGTCTCAACCTTTTATATTAATTAGTCGATCAGATTATTCATCAGAATCATTTGATAAGCAGGTAATTTACAATAATTATCTCATTTATTCATATTTACTTAAAATCCATATTAAGAGTCAGATTAATTTGCAGCAGGAAGTTGTGAAAGAAATAGCCGTAGGCACTTCTTTTAATGGTAGTACTCCCCATGGTCGAACTATTGAAACTAGTGATGACCACGATGTGAATTTTTCCGTGAGAACATTCAGTTTTGAGACAGTTAATGAAGGAGTGATTGAACTTAGACGTGTGAGTATTTTGTGTGTGTTTTTTTTTTTTGTTAAGGAATATCAAAATTATATTAATTCAATCAATTATCTTCTAGTATGTGACAAATACTCGAGCATTTGTGATAGCATCTATAGCATTACAAATCGCCGTTTTCTTATATGTTTCAATTGAATGGACAAAGGTATGATTTTTAATTTATTCTTGATTCGATTTTATTTGATTTCTAAGTATAAGTTGTTATTTTGCGATAACAAACAGTTTGCGACTATTCCCATCGGATTTCTTTCGACTGAAACACGAGAGTATTCGATCAATTTACGAGGTCCAGATTTGACAATCCTCGGTGAATGGCATCGATTCTGGCGTCCATTATTGGTATACTGGGGATACCTCGTATTACTACCATTAGTGTTTGCCTACGTATTCAATTTCGAGCCCCATCGTCATGCCGCCAGTCCGCTCGCTTTTTCCGTAGCTCAGTATTGTATTCTGTTCATATCGGCTGGTAATTTGGACTGGGTGGAAGATGTACGCGATTTCATTCCTGAAACTATCATCTACAGTGGTGCTGGGGCTTCTGTTGTATTTGCATTTTATGAAGGTTTGTTAGCAAATACGAGTGTGCAGATCTGAACGGACTCAAAGTGAGTGTGTACGAAATCACAATCGCATATTTTATATTTTATCGCTAGATTTACAATAGACAATCATTCTCTTTCTCTGTATTCTTTATTTAGTTTGCTTTTATTATAATAATTGCTAGATTGAATCCTGGGGGACCTCGATTAATTGAATTAATTGATTATACTCGGTGGTATAGACTTGATTAGCAAAAGAATTCAAGGCTGTGTATATACTTAAAATAATAATCTAAAGAGGGTGGGAATGATTATAATAATAGGAAGAAAATTTAATAGAAAGGACTCTTAATGCAATCAAAAATTAATAATGATCATTTTTAGCTAAAATGGAAAGCAAAAATTTTTCATGTGTGTAAATTTTAAATTTTATTTTTCTTTCGGGTAAGATAAATGCCACCATTATTAACCACGTTGCTTGGTGAAACGGGGCAAGAGTGTGAAGAAGCAATATACCTGAAACTTCACTTGCCTGCAGTAAAACTAACTACACCGATAACAAACACGTGTTTAATTGCGAATCACAATAAACGATCAATGGTTACCAGGTTGACTTGATATTTATAAATAGTTAGTATATTATGAGTGACGAAAGGATAGCTTTGCTTCCCGAAACCTTTTAATTATACTAAAAAATAACACCCTTTGTATTTTTTACTATTCTGGTTTTACTTGCGATATCACCGCCACCGAGACCTTCCGCACACGCACTTTCTCTTTAACCAAAAATACACTATTCGATATTCAAGTGGACCAATAGACGAAACTTTACGACATTATTACACTATAATACTAATAATTAACCATGTCCAACACATTCACTAATTCTACAAATGGTTCCCGAAAATACAAAAAGAGCGCGAAGAATGAGACTGTGTCGTCTATGGTAGTTAATAATAACAATAAAAACCACAATAATAATGGTAACGTATTTGAGCCAATGGATATTGACGACGCGCAAGCTAAACGGCAAAATGGTGGAATTGTGCCTTATCAGATTCGTGATAATTCAACGATAAAGTCATCGTTTGGAAGTAATGGGTCAAATACGGTTAATACTACTACTAATAGTCATTTGCATCAGCAACAAAATGAACGTTATTTTAATAATAAACCAAATGATGCCCAGGAACCATTTCAACAACAGATACAACCACATCATCAATATCATAATCAAGAAGCTGGTGGTTATGTCAATTTCTCGAATATTGATAACAAGAAACTTGGTTCATCCAGTAATACTAATAATAATAATAATAATAACAATAACAACAACAACAATAATAATAATAGTAATACCAATAATAATAATAACAACAACAACAACAACAACAACAACATCAACAACAATACTGCGATTCAGCAGCAACAGCAACAAAATTTCTATGCTTCCGACCTGAATGTTGTTGCTGCAGCAGCCACTTGTGATATCAATATGCTAGTGGATCTCACTTTATCAAGAACATCGTTGGATCCTGAGGTTGTTTTAGCCGCAGCACAACTATTTCAATTCGCTAATCATGCATATCGCCATGCTGCGGTCACCAATGCTGGTGGATATTATCTTAATAATCCAAACGGTGCCGAAGATATGGTCCCACGCCCAAGTGCGATGTCACTGTCAAATCTCTTGCTGCCGTCTTCATCAGATGAATCAGGTGCTGCCGCCGCTGCTTCTTCATCACAAACCGCGGTAAATGAATCCCTTTTTTTCATCTTTTAGTGCAAAACTTAATTTTTTGTGTTCTAGATAAAAAAATTAACAAATATTCTTGAAAAAAATAGAGCGAAAAAAAATTATTTCCAGACGATAAAATTTTGATGAGTTTCAATTAACTTCTATTTTCTTTTTCTTTTGAAAAGGTAAAGAGATTTAATCATCATCAGCAGAAACACATGTTTTGAAAATTCAAATTGCTGAAAATTTAAGAATTAATTGAAAAGTGGGGATGGATGCAGCAGAATTATCAAAATTATATTATCATTATCAATTCAATCAACACTTTTAATATTCTCACACGTGCACAAAATCCTTTCATTGCTTCATATTTCGAAAAAGGATCTCGAATGTAAATTATTCATTATTTCATAGTTATCAAAAAAGAGTATTATCCCCTTTCAATTCTTCCTATTCTTAAAAAAATCAGTTTTTTCATTAGTTTCAGTAAATAAAATCAATAATTGAAAAAATTAGATTTTTCCAAAATCCATTAGTTGTCCTTTGTTTATGATCTAAACATAGCTATAACACTAATAATTTAATGAAGGATTATAAGTATCCTAGCCACGGCGAAAAAATAGTGACTGTCACATGATTCCGATCCCAATGCCGGCCATCCGATATGCTCCTTAAAATTATGCACCAATCAGATCGCAGGATCAACAGCTTGTATCTAATAAAAAATGTTTGCGAAATTTACTGTTCACTATGTTCCGGTTTGCCATACAATAACCTTAACTAAACCTAAACCTAACCCTAACCGAAACTCTTTAATATTATGCATTATAAACTACTCCAGCTCACCTACGATCGATTTTCCCTTCACGTGATTTTATGATCCGATTTTCCAAGCCACAACATTCCGCACTATTAAGGGTAAGATTATATATAAAATTGTCTTCCCGTCATTTTTTATTAGTGCTAAAAGTGAGGTTTAAGCATCTATTTCCCGTATTTTTTGCATTGTTCATTTTCTTGTGCGGATTTGTTTTGCCGGGTTGATCAAAAATTTACGCATTCTCATTGGTTCGAGATCGTCAGGATCGAAAAAATCACGTGAAGGGAGATGAGCTGAAGACATTTACTAAGTTCTGATTGGATACAAGTAATTTCCATCGCTGATTGGTTGACTTCACACCAGGTCTTCTAAATCAACCAATAAATATTGATCAACCCGGCAAAACAAATCAGACACAATAAAATTATAAACGTAAAGGCGAATAATGTGAAAAATACGGAAAACGAATGGGTAAACCTGGCTTGAAGCACTAATAAAAAATGTCGGGAAGACAATTTTACATATAATTTCTTCTCCAGTCCTAACCCTAACCCTTAATCCTAACGCTAAAACTGACCTTTAATATTTTCAACCAATCAGAACTTGAGGTAAATGCGAGCTGGAGTAGTTAAATGTATACGTCATTCCACGCAATACATCATCAAAATTGTGATCAGAAAAGAAACAAATCTCTCCACCGAATCTTAAAACTTAACTATGAGTTTTTATCCATATACTGACAATGGCGGGTAAGTCTTCACATGTTGAATAAATCTACTTTCCAAACTCTCCAGAAAAATATTCCAATAAATTAATGCGATCTAACTATAAAATATATCAGGAGTGCATTGGCGATTGCAGGAGAAGATTACTGTCTGTTAGCCTCTGATACGCGACAAAGCGGAGAAGACTACAAGATTCATGCCGGTTATGTTCCCAAGGCTTTTAAATTGTAACGTATTATCCACTTCTAAAATTAACTTAGTCATTCCAAAGATGATAGTGTTGATCTATTTATTTTGTTCATTAAAAATTTTTTACTGTATTAGAACAGACAGTTGTGTTTATGCAGGTGTTGGCTTTTCAGCTGATGGTGTAGCATTGGTCAAAAGAGTTCGACAAAGCATAGAGGTGTGAATAAAATGGATGAAGAAGGGGTATACGCGTCGCGTATATTTGATTATTTATTTTTTTTCATTATAGTGGTATAGACATGCTCACGAAAAGACAATGTCTACGCCTGCACTCGCTCAAATGATTGCGACGGTATTATATAGCAAACGATTTTTCCCTTATTATGTTGGAACTATATTGGGTGGATTGGATGAAAATGGTATTTGTTGTTTTCCATCCGTTATTTGAAAAATCGACAATATATATAACTGATCTTTTTTTTGCCAAAAATTCATATTTAAATTAATAAATAGGTCGAGGAGTTGTATACTCGTTTGACCCTGTAGGATCGTTTGAAGCCGAACTACACAAAGCTGTCGGTTCAGGAGCCGAGCTCATCCAACCATTCTTGGATAATCAAGTAATTATTTATAATAACATTAATCTCTTTTGGAACTATCAGCGCCTTTTTTTTCGCTAAGGCAAATTATTTCTTTATCATTCAAACAATAATCATTAAAATAGGTTAATCTCAAATTCCTGCCTGAAGTTGAACGTACTCCGTTACCATTAGATGTGGCGCTCCAAATTGCAAAGGATGCATTCACATCCGCGGCAGAAAGAGATACCAAGACCGGAGATTATCTTGAAATATTTATTATTGACAGAGAGGGAGTCAACGTTGAGAGATTTGACTTGAAGAGAGACTAAATGATTATTTAGAAATCGCTATGTATTTATATTTTACATCTGTTGTATAGCAGAGATTTTATATTATCGCCAAGTTTGATGAGAATATATATTTCTGAAACAAAGTCACTTCTATGTGTGACAAAATAATTTATAGACTCGACATATGATCAATATTATCCCACGCGACTTTTCTCACTATCACCTGATTATCTCTACTTGTAGAAATAAATGATGCGTGAGAAAAAATTAACATTTTTCTCGTCGAGTTCGTTTAAATAATTTTAAAAAGTAAAAAGTAGAATGGCTAGCAAAGAACGCGAAATTGACTCATACACGTACTTGAGAGGTTTCGGAAACCATTTCACTTCAGAAGCTTTACCTGGCGCACTTCCACAGGGTATCTATTAAAGTAGCTTTGCCCGTTAAGCATTTACATATTAATATTATTTTGTTAATAATTTTTTCTTTTAATTAATAAAGGACAAAACTCACCACAGAAATGTCCTTACGGACTCTACGCTGAACAACTTTCAGGCACAGCTTTTACTGTCGAAAGAAAGCATAATCAGTTCAGGTAATTTAAAATAGTTGCCCACTTATTTTATGATAGTAATTTGTAGTTTGGTTTAATTTTTCAAAATTCTAAAAATTAAAGTTGGTTATACCGTATTCGACCATCAGTATGCCATGAACCTTTTACAAAAATAACCGAACCAACGAATCTTCGCGGATCCTTTTCAATAAACGATACTGAATTCATTCCAAATCAACTTCGATGGAATCCATTTCCCTTACCAATTGATTCTGAGTCTTTAAATTTTGTGTTTGGTTTGAGTACGCTTGCAGGAGCTGGGGACCCAACCTTGAAAAATGGACTCGCGATTCACATTTATCGCGCAAATAAAAATATGGAGAACATGGCATTCTATAATTCTGACGGGGATTTCTTAATTGGTCAGCTCATTTGGCATTTTTTTTTTTGATTTTTTTTAATTATTGTTAATACATTGATTGTATGATGCGTGTAGTTCCTCAACACGGTCGTCTTGATATTTTTACCGAATTCGGTCGTATGCTCGTATCCCCTAATGAAATTGCTGTAATTCCTCGTGGTATTAGATATTCTGTATCATTGCCAGATGGTCCAAGGTGATAAAATAACTCGAATAATCACTGACCATTTTTTTCTCTATTACAACCTTTCAATTAACCACTTGACTAATGTTATAGTCGTGGTTATATTTTAGAAGTATATGGCCATCATTTTGAATTGCCGAATCTCGGGCCGATTGGTTTGTATGAGGAATATTATTTATGCATTATATAAATCGTTTGCTTATTTATATTATTTTAGGAGCAAATGGTCTTGCTAACGCGCGTGACTTTTTGACTCCAACTGCGGCATATGAGGAAAAGGAAGGAAACTGGTCAATTGTGAATAAATATGTGGGACAATTGTTTATAGCAAAGCAGGTAAACTAATAATTTTACTTGTCTTCATTTACAAAGTAACAGAAGCAAATTAAACGCGATATTATTTTATAGGATCATTCACCTTTCAACGTGGTAGCATGGCATGGTAATTACGTGCCTTACAAGTATGATCTTGCGAATTTCGCTGTCATCAACTCGGTTTCATTTGATCATGTGGTAAATAAAAAACGATTCGATTATATATATTGGTTTTGAATTAATTATTCAATTTTTTGCTAGGACCCGTCGATCTTTACTGTTCTCACTTCAAAATCAGCATTCCCTGGCACAGCAATTGCTGATTTTGCTATCTTTCCGCCTCGTTGGGCGGTTCAAGAACACACAGTAAGTGTTAAGCTTGATGTTCGATAGTTTCTTGCAAGAGGGATGACGATGTCCACATTTAGTTCAGACCTCCATATTTCCATCGTAATACGATGTCGGAATTTATGGGATTGATTCTTGGATCGTATGAAGGCAAGGCAGAAGGATTTTTACCGGGTGGTGGAAGGTATGAAATCATTGTGTAATTTTTGTCTTTGTTCTACATATTATTAATATTTTTTTACTTTTTAGTTTGCATAGCCACATGGCTCCACATGGTCCGGATGCAACAACTTATGAAAAGGCATCAAACGAAGAACTGAAACCTGTTCGCGTTGCAGACGGAACCATGGGTAATTGATTGTCTGATTCGTTAACTTTTTCAATATATAATATGTATATAATTATATCGAATTTATTTTTATCTAGCTTTCATGTTCGAGTCTTCTTTGATGCTCGGTGTTACACCATGGGGTCTATCTAAACAAGTGCATGTTCAACCTAATTATTGGAAAGCATGGCAAGGTATAAAAAGTAACTTTGTCCATGATTCGAAACAAAGCTAAAAATACAGACACTTATATTCCTATGTAAATTAAATAATACGGCAATTTGTTTCTGAAAAAAAATAGATATCTCATGATCAGTTTTTCTTGTAATAGATGGCAAAAATTGTACAATATAATCAAATAAGGATACATTTGCTGTAGAGATTAATTAAATTGAAAGCCCTTTCCACGATATTAGTATTCATTTGTTGGCTAATCGCGAAAACTTTAACACACTTCTGCTTCGTATGTTCAATTCTTGTAAACGAGCATTCTCGTCTAACAAGCGATGACCTTCAAACATTAAACAATAAGTCTTCCAAATATATTTCCTAAGATCAAAAATCATAAAATTTACCATATATGATTTTTAATATTTGCAATAGAAAATCATAAATTCTGTTTTTACCAGCTAATCTTTTTATTGCGTCTTTTGCGTTGTCTCATGTTTCTGATTACACCATCGCCACTATCATTATTTGCTCGTTTAACATTACTCTTGTCTCTCTTTTCCTCTTCGTCTCGTTCTACGCGCGCTTTTATCAGATTCTTTAAATCCTTTATTGTAGAATTTTGTTTTACTATCAATACTATATCATATATACGGAATAAATTTATATATAACGATACCTTGAAAGGCGAAAACACGAAAAAAACTTTTATGACTTACCTAAAGGGTCTAAACCACCACGTTCCACACGTATCTCAAATGCTGTTCCTTGTTCCAACGCGATCAAAGTATCAACTTGTTCAACGCTTACTCTTTCTAAAAGTTCTAATGGCTTCACAGAAGCAGCATTATTAGTACCTACACCTTCCTCGGAATTTTCCTGGCTAACACCAGCTAACTCTTTCAAATCGGACAACAGTGGATCCCGAAATAATTCCAGGAGCATCTTGTGTGTTTCACCGAGATCTGACGAAGGCTGAATTCGACTACCTTGGTTACCTTCATTTGGAGAGGAAACCAAAGAATTATTCGCATGCGAGCCGGATTCCATTACTATTTTGTAGTCCAAATTCTACGAATTCTTATTGGATTTAAAGATCCAATATGATTGGTCAATAATTTAAACAAATACAAAAGGTTTAGTTCACGAAAGTCGCGAATTGATCTTTGCGTAAAAAAATGAATGCGTTTTCTTGGAGGCTTGACACCTTCAAGAATCTCTACAATGACATTACTCGTGCAAGAGAACTACCTTCTACTGCCTCTATAAGAGATTTAAGCCACAAGCTACAAACTGAGAAACATTCATTTCTAATTCTTTTGGATTTTCCGCAAAAGACTGGCAAGAGAGACGCTTTCAAAAAGGGTGGGTCGCACTTTTGGTAACTTTTCTCATTACTTGTCTTTTTAATGCGGTAAAAAGTTACTGTGAGCAAATACGAGGCCTTGATAACATACTTTAATTAGATTTAATGGTTTGGCTTCGAACAAAAAAGCTCTACTACTAGACTCCTTATTCTATGGACCTACGGCTAACTTAAGTGCACCTCTATTTCGGAAATCAATTTCAATTTTCCAATCATTTACTACTTAGACCCGAACAGTGAAGATCTAGAATTCGAATTCACCGGCACAAAGTACTTTATAAGGCCAGAGTTCGCTGATCAGATTCTGTTATTCTCTGATATTTTCAATCTTGATGAATATCTAGCGGCACACATACTACTAAAGTCCAATGAACAACAAGCATCGATTTACCAAAAAAGTGCGGTCGAAACGGCCATGATCTATTTTCTTTCAGAACGCAGTTTCATGCTTGCGTGTCTTGAATTGATTATTCAGTATGCGTATGATAAGGAATTGCCTCCGGATCTTAGAGATCTATATTCACGATTCGTGCAAGATTTGATCAGGGAATACGAATCGAATTCGGCTTTGTCCTACTCTTTCGCTCTGCATATATTGAAAACTATTCAATTATTGAAAGCACAAATTGATCGATTCCAGACCGATATAAAGACACCGATGCAACCGAATGGCACTCTAACTTCAATTCAACGCGTATCCTTCGAATCCGCAAATGATGGCATTAATGATTTGAATCAACAGTACCTGATATTAGGACGCGTGCTCTATCATTTTTCATACAATTTTCAGCTTAATCCAGAAGAAATAATGGAAGTTACAAAATTGCTGCATAAAATTGATCATCAAAATATAATTATACCTCATCTAATAATGTCCTTACTGGCGTCAATTGATATTGCAAAAGAGAACGCTACTGACCTTACAGTGTCATTCAAAAGATACGAAGCCTTGAAAAACGATCAAAGTTTCATAAAGAATTTTAACAAGTTGCTCGTTAACGACGTGAAAAAGAGCGGAAATGGCTGGGAAATCAAAGGGATTCATGAGATAATTCTTTTACAGTGGATATTGTTTATATGGGAGATACTTCCACGAAATCCATCGTTAAGAAAAGAATTAAATCTTACAGAAGATCAGTTGCTCCAATTAGCAAATGAAGTCATCCAAAAAGATGTTTTTCAGTTAATAATAAAATATTTCTTGGAATTTCAAATAACGAACGATGCACTCGATGAGGACGATCCTTTATCACCGCTTCAGGGTAAGATATTTTCCAAAGATCCAGCTCAAAAAATAACTGGTTTCTCGATTGAGGATGAATTTCAAGATAGTGTTATAAAACAGCTTCAGTCACTCGTTAGATCCTTTATCTCAAAAATGAGTCAATGCATACAACAAATAAAACGTCGTGAAGAAGATGCTATTCAGGCAGCAAAACTACCGCAACAACCTACATCGTCGAAAACGAAAGACACCGTTTCGGACTTGCGTCATGATTTGGCTGTCTTCTTCTTCTTAGTCGCTATATTATATAGGTCACCTGACAGCGGGTTAAAATTTTGGGAGAATAGGTCTTTTTTGAAATTTGGGACAAGCGTGAGTGAGGCAAGAATGATTCGTGCTTATTTGGAGATGCTATGCTCCCTCGCAACTGGCCCAAAAAGTAGCGAGCAGGCAGATAAATTTCTTTCAATTGAGGATCAGAATACGGAATGGTGTTCTTGGAAAATGCTTGATAAAGCATTAGTCTTATATGGCTCACCACCAGCGATCAGAGTTTCCCCAGGAGCATCTGGCATGCAAAGCCAAACCGACAATAAGATCCGACCAGACGAAAGCTCCATTTTAAGTGCATTTATTCGAGTTCAAAGTCAAGTTGTTCAACATTCGGAAACGGCACAGAATCGATTTCAAAAAGAGAATGTTGTGACCAAACTTTTCACGCTATTGAATCGTGAATTGATGCCTAAATTGAAAGCAGCAGTTATCAATTCAATAGCCGCATTTTGCAAATCAATCCCTGGAAATGTCAATAACATCGTATGGGATGTCTGGAAATTTTTAGAGAATAGTCAACTTGTTCACACTATTCCAAAGCAAACACCGCTTGGCTCTAGTTCTCAGCCTATTACGCCTCCTGGAGGTAGCGGTATGAAAAAAGAGCTTACAGAGTCCGAATCCGTATATCAAACTTATCCGCAAACTCTAGCTTTTCTGAACCTAATAAACACCTTAATTCAAATCGACCATGAGTGTGCAGGATTACTTTTTGGCTTTCCTGCAGTTGCTTCAAGTATCCCCTTGGATCTTGGATCGACATACCGAACTCCTGGAATAACACCTTATATAAGCTTTATTATTGACAGTGTTTTTATAAAAGCCCCTTTAAGAAGCTATCGAAATCCTTTGGAGAAATGGAAAGTTATGGCGAAATCCTTGGAAATTATCGAAAAATGCTTGCTTTCATTCGAGTTGACTGGATCATTATTTCATAACATTGGTGCTCATCAATCTGCTATACGACAAGATGGATCTGGTCGCAGTCAGAACATGGAATCTTCTATAAATGTTGATATCGTTCGCTCCTTGAGTCTTCACCCAGGATTTGATATAATGAAGCGCCTTTTATCAAAATCGGGACTCATTGAGGCTATGTTTGACTGCATAAATGACGCTGGTATTAAGTTGTCCGAAAATAGCGAAAAAACTCCATTTTTCAAAGAAACAGTTTTACGTGCTTTAAGAATTATCGATATGGCATCTCAAAAGGAAGCAAGATTCTCGCGTATATTGATTCCTTTGGTTCGTGAAAATATTCCTGGAAATTTTGAAAATGTTTTCCTAAGTCAAAGTAAAATTGTCATACAGATCGCTTTACTTTTGATATGTGGCTATGATGATATATGTTTATATGCTGTTAAAATATTATTACGTCTTAGTCGATATAAAGCATTCAGCGATGTAGACAGGACTGACGGTCGTGGGATCAATAGACTTGTAAAAATACTTGCATCGTCTGATGAATCTGACCGAATATTGTCAGGATTTGTTGATCATTTGGAAAACGGCCGGGGCGAAAACGACCTTAATACTATAATTGATTATGAGGAAGATAGTATTATGCAAATAATGGAAGGAACTTCGTTAGGACATTTTCTAGAAGAGAATATTGACGTTTCATCACAATCAGTGAGGCTCGCCATTGCGGACTTAATTTTGGATAATCTAAGACCAGGCGTAAGGTCACCAACAATTGCACATTTTCTTCTTGGATATGAATTTGAAGGAACCATGCGCAAAGCAACAATCCAATTTAGTAATGCATATGATACAAAAAGAAGCTGCTTTGATTTAATTTTAAGTTTGTTTGGACATTCGAATAAAGAGCTAGATTTAAATGACGAAGTCAGAAGTTCTGAGTTTGCTCAAAATAATCCTTCTCTCGCTGCTCGATTCTATGAAATAATATATCGACTCTGTTCAGACAGTAGGACTTCAGAACCGACAATGATACATCTTCGAACAATCAATTTTTGTGCCGGTCAATTTAAAGCATTACCCATTCACGTTACAAAGCCTCAATCTTCTGAGAGAGTTGATGACAGCACTCTTATCAAGCTTGATAATACAAAAATGAAAATCGATTTTAATACCATTACTTTTAACCTCGATCAGAGAACTTGGCTGTTTAAAATTCTTGCTCTTGAGCTTCTGAGATGTCAAATATACTCTCAAATTGCAAGATTGTTGTCTTCAATGCTTGGAAGTGATTCCATACAAGAGTGGGACCATGAACTGAGCATGGATGAAGAAACCGATAACTCAGTATTGAATGGCCAAGATGATAGTCAATCAATGGCGAAACTCTTAGAATTACTTGACATGCTAGATCATCAATGGATAGATGACGAATGGGCTCTTGGTAATTTTCAACGGCGTTATTTTGATCGGCTGGACATTAATACTTATACAACTAAGAATAAACGAGGCACTCCTATCTATGCTATTCGAGATATTTATACAGCTTTACGATCGTTAGGTAACAGTTTGAGAAAACATGGGGCTGTTAGTAATATACAAGAAATGGAACAAGAGTTTCATATGATCTTAAGATTTTGCTATTCACATAATCGTCGCACTGAATATGAATCTATAAAGCTCGAGTGTTATAGAGGCTGGCGTGAAGTAACAGATGTTATCATTTATAATCACTATGAAATTCTAAATTTTGACCGGCGAGAACCAATCATTATCGAAATTGTTACTGCATTATTACCAAAAATACGATCTAATGAGTACTTAATCACATCTCACATTCTGAGTTATGTACTCGTGTCAGCCATGTCGAAATTGTGTCAAGATCGTCGATCTCAGTCCACATTACAAATTATGACCAATGAGAATACTTTGTCATTAAAAACAAGATTACCTCCTGAGAAGCTTCAGGATATTTTCAGATTAATTATTTATGGAATAATTGCAGGCTATGCAAATACGGAGATGCGAATGAACTTTTATGTTGCCTTATACTTATACTTGCAATATTGCAGCCCTGAATCAGAGTATATAATTTCACCATCAAATTCCCACACTGTCGATAATTCAAGGGATGTAAGCTCAATGTCATTACTTGGAGGTGGTGCGTCAAGAATGTGGGGCTCTTCGTCGACACGTGTTAACGGTTCTAATCAAAAACTTATTGCAGCCAATTTCGCTATGCTTAAAGAATTGGGTGATCGTTTGCTTAATTTCTTAAGATCTGATGCCTCAGCTGGACATGTTGCTGTACAATTATCCGCAATAACAACGTTGAATTCCTTGTGTGATTTATATAAACGTGAGAGAGATAACTCGGTGGTTGATTATCTGATGAAAGCTCATTTTGTCACCGAAACACTACAAGAATTAAAACGTAGTGATGATTTTTTGAGACATTATTATGGAAGATCATCAGGTATTTTAATTTTTAAATTATTTCAATTCCATTTTATTCCTCATAATAAAACGTCTTTTTTAATAAATAGCCGATCAATCAATCTTGCACGCGGCATATTTATTTGAGTCAAGGATTGCTTTGCTGATTCGCATTGCCCAACGTCCTGAATTTGCCATTAAACTTTTGAATTTTGGAATTATCGAATATTTGGAAAAAATGACCTTCTTAGATGAGCGTCCAACATACAATAGGACTGCAGCAGGTTTTTTTACTTTTAAATCAATTTCATCTGTTTCTCTTTCATTTATAAAGGATGACGACCTTTATTGTTATATATGTCTTCAGATTTACAGGGAAGAACTGGTTATCTTCGTTACCATCAACTCTTGCTTTGGATACTTCGTTTAGTAGGCTCTATACTCACAAGTGCTGGTCACAATAATATTGTTGGACTAAACAAAGTTTGTTTTTTTTTTGTTTTCTTATGTTATTGTAGTGTTGTTATCCAGAAATAAATTATAATCAAAATTTTTAGGTCTTGAAATTTATAAATAGTCATCAGGGTGTACTGGCAGAAATTTTCACCGATTATGTTTCGCCGGTATCTCATGATGATGACGAAATCTGTGTGATTTATCTCAAAGTTCTTTGTGAAGTAGTTTCTATATTTTACTACGTAGGCAATGGAATTGAATCTTTGGATAAAGACGTGAGTATATTTCTCCGTTATCAAATTATACTATTAAAAGAAAATTGTCGAAATATTGATTTTCTTTCTTTTGGGAAATATCCAGCGCCATGAAAAAAGACAGCCAACTTTTTATAGTTTGCTTAAAGAAAACATAGCACGATACTTTTTCTTTGGTGATTGGCGATCCCAGATGATGGATGATGAGGAAGAAAAGAGATTTAAGCGTATGTATCGTTCGCTATCACGCATTTGCTTAATTAATTAACATTAATTTTTTTTATTTTGTGATACGTTGAATAGATATGCACAAATTTTTAAGACATCTTAACACGAACCTTTTAGCATGGAGTTATCGAGTCACAGAATTTACGAGCGGTAAATTATATTTTTTTATATTCGATGGAAATTTTTCTTAATTAATTAAATTCTTTTTCGGGATGATAGCTGCTTCCGAATATAGACCTATTTTTGTTGCGTCACTAGAAACTGCCAATAGAAGAGATGAGACCCAAACCGAAAGTATGATTTCCTTCAGAAAAAATAATTTTTTTTGATATCAAAGGTTATTAATAAAATTATTTTTCACAATAGAGGAACCGGAACTTTCTGCTCTGGTAATTTGCCTAAGAACTTTGGTGGAAGGGTTGTTTAATTTGTTGCAAAGGTTTCATGAGGAGTCGCAGAAGCTCGACAACTATAATTTGATCTCACAAGCGGACATTGACGAGGTTAGTGTCATAAACAATGCAACATTCGATGAAATTCTTTCTACTTTAAAAGAATTTACATGGACCTTAATCATTTTTTGATGATATTTTTGTTTTCAAAAAGATTCTGACAAAGATCTCGGAGAACTATCCCCAACTACTTAACAACGAGCAGCGAAAAACATTAGCTATTCAAGAATTACATAAAATGCGTCTAGAAACATCCAGAAATATCAACAGCTGTCTAAGTAAGCCTTCACTATAAAGGAAATGTTGCATTTATCAATAATAATAATAATCCATTCAACTCGATCGATTTCCTCACTATTATTAGACGATCTTGAAATCGCATTACTTTTACTATGGCGTCACCTTGAATACTATTTGGCTTCAAAGTCCGGATCCCCTACAAACTTTTCCGAACAGCCTATTAGCATGTCTTCCATGACGGCAACAGTTTCCGAAAGATTACGAACGGATACGCAGTTGCACTTGAAATCTTCATTTGACAAATTAGCTACTCTGGATAAGAACCTGGTAATCATATATTTCTTGTACTATTAGTAATTCATTTAATTTTTTCTAAATTATGCTTGTTATTATATTAGACGAAAGAGGTCATCGACAATTACAAGATGAGAATCACCTATATATATATGTTACTTCGAAAAATAAATGCAATATTCGGCTCACAAACTTAAATGATAATTGATCGAAGGTATTATTAGATGGTTTATCATTAACAATTAACTTCACCGATTATTAAAACGTGGAATCTGGGGAATTATTTTTGAATAGATGAACATAATAATTTACTTGGACAATAACAAAGTTGTATAATAATACAACTAGTTAAATTCTATGTATTTTTAAAGACTAAAGATATTTCATTATCATAAATTTATCTAGAAAATTAAAAAAAAAATTGGAATATTTTGGACACAATACGACGTAATAATAAAAAATCAGGGTTGACATTCTGTCCAAAGGAGCGGGAGAATAACCAAACAGGCGGTGTAAAGGACCATAAAACTTTTGATGATGTTTTGTGGAATAGACAGGATTGAAGATTGAGCAAAAAAACAATAAATAGAGTAAACAGCAACTGCAAAGAAGTGTCCAATCAAAATCATTGGTTTGGGTCTTAAGCTAGAAATAGAAGAAAAAATCAGAATAAGGAAACAAAAATTTCATGAAAATAGAACTTTTTAAGAATAAATAAAATACCCAGATAGTAGACCACATGGGTCTGATATACATCTTCCGCCCAACAGGAAGTATTCGAAACAGCCCTCTCTTAGAACGCGTAGATTTTCATCTAAATATGTATTAACGTGAACACATCAAAAACTTTGTAGCGATCTAATGAAAAGTCAAGTGACTATTTACCATTTGCACTAAATAGTGTGTAGAGTGCTTGAGCGAGTATATTAATTACACTGCAGTATTCCTTTCGACGCCAATGAAAAGTTTGCATTTTTGACAGAATAAGACCGGTATCAGAAAAATCAGGAATTTGCGAGGGATGAAGTAGTTCGGAAAGAGTTACTACATCATTGAACGCGACAGTCATTCCTCCTGTAAAGAAAAATTTTATTAATCTCAAATCGGAATTTTGAGATGAAAATAGAATTAAAAAACTTGAATACCCCCGGTAAGAGGATGACGCATGTTCATTGCATCGCCTAAAAGAATTAGCCCTTCATTGACATTTGTAGATGGAGGAAGAAAGCTGTTTGGCATCGAGCGCAATCTTTCTGTTTTCAAAGCCTCGTAGAATTTTGTCTAGTGAAAAGTGATTTGATGATTTTGGTATTAGATGAGAATATTGGATATAAACATACAGAAGATACCTGCAATGACTTGGGGATATCAGGTAATACGACTTCTTCGAGATATTTCTACAGAAGAAATATTAAGTAGATTGATCATAATCATATTTATTGTGTTAAAATAATATTATCTACCTTCAAAGCACCAGTTCCGTTACTTGGTAATTTTCCGGGAACGTCAACCAAGACTCTTGCATGTTCTGTGCTTATCTAAGAACACATCGTTAAAACTTTATTTTTTTTTTACATCAATGTGTAACAAAAATAACTAAAATCTAAATTACGAATACCTGATACATTAATATAGGTGAAATTTTACCGAGCGCTACATGTCCATAATTTTGATAAGGAAGTTGAGAATCTGTCATTACAAAACTTTGGGACCCGATCAAAGATAAGCGAATGATCGAAGATGATTTCTTAAGCTTACAAATTAAAGATAAAGACACTACCCAACAAAATTCGATTTCACGGTGACTTGTTTGGGTATAAATTCTTTCCTAAACTTGGAAAAACATCCATCCGCAATAATCGTCAATGGTGCAAAGAACTATAAAGAGAAATGTGATTATAAGTTTGCGTATAATTTATAAAAATTCTCAGATTTTTGCTTATATCTTACATTAATGGTGACTTCACTTTCCCCTTTCTTGGAGCAGGAAACTCCTATAGCACGGTCAGTTATTGGACATAAAATTACTTCATTAGCTATACCCTCATAAATTGTGACACTAAAAGCAAAAATAAATAGCATTCATTCAACTCTAATCATCCAACATTAAAATCTTGTTTGACAGGTAAACTCAGAAATTTACTTCGATTCGGCTGCAGCTGCTTTTCGCAAATTCATAACGAAACGACCGTGGTGAAATGAACGTCCTCTTCCAGGCTGTCCATCAGAGCGGTCGGGATAAGGAATCTGAACATACTGGCCATCACGAAAGACAACGTAACCATGACAAGAGATTGAGTCAATATTCTCGAGACATTCTAAAACAATGAATACACTTTTTAGTTACATTCTTGTGATTGAATGAAGTCAGCGTGTATGCTACCTGCAAGACCGAGTTTTTCAAGTGCTATAACGCCTCCCGGTTGAAGAAGTTCACCGACTATACGGTCCGGCTCATTCAAATCCCTTTCTAGAAATATCTCGTAATGTCAGAAAGTAGAGGGGCACGACCTTGAACGCGAAAAACAAGCAAACCCACCTATAAGTAAGACGTTTCGCTCCTGTTTCCCGAACGCTACGGCAGCAGCACAGCCAAGAATACCAGCACCAACTATAATGAGATCGTATTCGTCTTTAATTAGCATAATTGATAGGTTTTAGGCAGCTTGCAAACTTTCAGCAGTATAAAAAAACGTTAAACGCTCAACGCTAACCAAAAAATTCAGTCCAAAAAAATTAAGCGTGTTTGCACGTGTCAGAAATAAAAATAATCTCATATGTTCTTGGAAGCTTCCAATCAAATTTTTTGCTTATTGGACATTTTCAGTGGTCATGTGCACTTTAGAATACATGGGTGCAAGAAACTGTATCAACATGAACCCAAGCATTTGTATAAATTCACAGTCCAAAAAAGGTAAATATCAAATTTTGGTGGTATTCAACACGCGTGCACTTTTCAAATAGTAGAATTCTCTCCATATCTCCATTATAATTGAAATTTATGACCGTAAAAAACGAAGATACTAAGAAAATGGATGTTGTCATGCGAGACACTGACACTCGTCGTAATGCAGGTCCAAACTTTGGCATGAATCCAGGTACGAAACATTGCAAATCTAGTCTAGGTCATTACAAATTCTTAAAAAAAAAGTCCAAGAAAAAAGTTACAAGATACGCGTTAAAAGAATAACGAAAAATTACAGAATTAATTATCATGATTTGATTTGATTTATCTATACGAGTAGTTCCAGTGAACGAATGTACATATGAAACTACATTCTGGCCTCAAATATCTGGTTTCGTTAAACTTGCTCTACGATCAGAATTGCAAATTGAACGACCTTTACATACTTATTCACATGAGGAACTATACAGGTGAGTTTTGAAATCTGTGTGTTATTTATTTTCGTATAAATTAGTTAATGGTTAATGATCTAAATAGGTGTATATACTGGATGTGTTGGCAAGGCTTTCAGAAAAAGCTCCACAAGGATCTTTTGACTGTGATTGATGAAAGTTTGGCAGAGCTCAATGTGCAACTCGATATTATTGATCAACCAGATAAATGGATCTTGAAATTTGCAGAGATTAGTAGAAATCACGCAAGGGCTGCCGATATATTGTCCAGTATCTTTGCCTATTTGGTTTGTTCCAAAAAAAGATGCATTAAAAAGATTTCAAGATTATTCGAGTCGATGTATGTAGGACTAATAAAAAAGTTGATTTTTCATAGGATAAAACCTATATTCAATATTTCCTTCATGACAATTTAAAGAAGATCCTTTTCGATCAATATAAGCTGCTTATTATCGATAAATCGGAAAGGCGAATTATGTACATCTTTGGTCTTGTGCTGGATATCCCGGAAAAATTTGATACAAATGTTGTATTTGAGGCTGTTAGCTCGTTATTTAAGATAAATTCTGGTAAGAGCGACTTGCATGCCTTATATGTCTGTATTCGTTAATTTTCGGGGATATTGCAACTTTTTCAACCATAAATTCTCTCATTGACATATATTTAAATAGATTTGATCTATCTAAATCCGACACTCTTTAAGAATCATATTCCCGAAAATCAAATGCCATGCAATCTTGAAGGAGCTCGAATTAAACATCAACAATTGGAGACTAAATATCAAATCGAGGATTTAAAGAAAAAAGGCTGGGAAGCGGGAATTTCACAACTCAAGAGAAGTGCAAGTCAGGTGGTTGATGAAAATGAAAAGATCGGAGAAATTTCGGCCAAGCGCATTCGCTAGTCAATTTCTTTATATAATGTACTGGATAACGCGATTAATGGGGCTATTATGAAAAGTATAAAAAGAAGATTGAGTGACATCATAATATGCAGGCAGTATCACCATCACCATCACCATCACCATCACCATCACCATCATCATCATCATCATCATCATCATTTCACCAGAGATTAGGTAATATTTATGCACTTCATTTGACTCTGAATCGGTTGGTTTGTTAATTTTATTTTATATTTCTCCCCGTGTTGATTTGTCCTTATCATCATTATTATTATTATTACTATTGTTATGATGGTTGCATATAAAATACTAAAAATATATATATAAAAGATTAAAGGCGAGCTAAAGAAAAAATAACATTATTGATATACGAAATGTTAAGGTATATATGAATGACTGTCCGCAGTTGATCATCTAAATTGTGTCCATAATCTCTCCCTTAATTGGAGTTTCATATTATTATTGTTTTAAAAACGAGTACACACTCCTCAAAGTAATTTATTCTATGTGGATGTAGAAGTAATTTGAGAATGTCAAACTAAATGTGAATACGAAAAAATTCGAACCAACAGAAAAGACAGCAATGCAGCTGCTATCACATATATCCTATTGAGATTAGACTGGCAAATTTTTTTATGTGATTTTTTTAAGCAAAAAAAAATTAGAGAAACTATAACCAAAAAAAGAAAGAAATTTACCAAGAGAAAAACACTCTCACCCTAAATACTAAAGAAGCGGATGTTACAGATAGTTCTTGAGATTGTGACTCGCACTTATCAAGGATTTGACGCAGTTCACTTTCAATTATTTTTAGTCGTTTTAACTCTTGTCTCTTTTTATGGATTTTTTCCTTTTGCTCATGGAGTGCTCGTTTCGCTATCATACGTCCATCGATTAATTTTTAATAATTATATTTTCATTAACAAAAACACGAACATTGAATAATTTCTTACCTTTTCTGACCTGAGCTTGCACCTCGATACGTTTGTACTTCCACATCTTAGCTTCATGTTCTTGCGTCATGAATTCCCCTTGTTGACTAAGAGGTGATGATGCCTATCAAAATCAAGGAAAACAAGTACAAGGGAAAAATGGTACGACCAGAAACGATGCAGTATAATATTTAAAGGATTAGTTTATGCAGCAATTCAGTTTTGCTAACTTATTATAGAAAGTATCCCAAGAAAACACACACAGTCACTGCTTTTCCCTGCATAAAAGCTCGTACAATTTTCCCACCGTTTCAAATATGCAGGGACCACACACTGTCCGTGAAAACAATTAACCACCACCGCCACCACCACACCATCATTTGACCGATTGATGGATTGATTGATTGATAGATAGAAGCCCAATATATTATCGTGCATAACAAAGACTGAACTGCGCCACTTGGAATAAAAATATTTTGTAACTTGACTCTACCTTTTTCTTAAACACGGTATGCTTTAAATTGAATGCAACTTTACGCTTATTTTTAGCAACAAGGCTATGTTGCTTTTTGCTAATGTTCTTCCCGACAATTTCACCCTGGACATTATTGAGTATTAATTCTAGTGCCCGAGAATCTGCAAATGGGGAATAGCCAGTAGCGGATGATGAACCGATTTTGGTTTTGTTTGTTGGAGTACCTACCAAAACCGGCTTTCTGTCATATCTTGGAGCCATTTTTACTGTAGAAATATGAAAATGAACGTCAAAAAGTCAAAAAAGCTCTCAATCTATTTTTTTCTAAAGGAATTAAAAAAAAATAAAGAGAATAAAAATAGGTAAGGTTGGTCGGTTGGTTATTATTCTACGAGTGTGTGTGTATGTGTGTGTGTGTGTGTAGGCTATTTTGACAACACACAACCCACTTCTTGATAACGCGTTTACAACAGTATGTGTTGGGTGAGTTTTCTTTTATATGTCTAGAATCAATAAACTCGACACGTGATAAAGTGTAGAGGAACAAGGTTTTGTGACCATTTATGGGGGACACTAAAGCAAGGTAGTGAATTAAGGATTAAGTCAACTCGGATAATCTAATAATTATCCGGATTGACTTAATACACATGACCTATATTTGTAACACATTCAATGATTGGCTGAATTCTGCATAACACCATCGCAAACATGTATTTTGTGGTTTGGCCCAGCAAAATTCCCTCACCAACGAAAAGAAGCGCCGAATACTCGCTAACAACACCACCAGCATAAAATCGAATTGGAAACTGATCGCGACCTGGAGAAATTCGTAACAGCAGCGAAACGAAAATGGCGGCCGAACTCATAACTTACACGACCGGTTTCCAGTTTGGTTTCGTACCGAGTTTCCTTGAATGTGAGTATTTGGTGTTTCTTTTCATTGGTGGGCGTCTAGTTTCTTCATTTCGTTGGTGCCGTCGCAAATTTCGACTGTTCCGGTTTGGTCTCGCACCGGGTCTGTTGGCATCGTTGAACCCCATATCTATGGAAAACATTATCAGATCTTTGCGATCTACAGTGACCTATAATTATATTGGTGGAGATATTGGTATCTAAAGTCGGCGCAACGATATCTCACCGATCTGTGTGTTCAGAATTTTGCGAACTCGGGTTCGTTTGATTCACCTAATTAAGACGAACCACAAAAATTGGTTGGATATTGGGAGAAATATAAGCATCCAAAGTTGACTAATTTTTCTTGGCATTTTCCGAGACCGCCGGTGTTGGTTAGGGTTAGTAAGAGTTCTCCGGGTGTCCAGTTTCTCCGTGTTGGTTTCGTCGAGACCGGATTCAGTGAGTTTTTTTGGTGAGTATTTGATGCTTTTCGTTGATACTTCAGATGAAATGGGAGTCTTTGGGTGGGTGGTCTTGAAAAATCGATTTTAACAATGTCAACAAGCAAATAAACTTTTCTACAACCAGAAACACTGTAAAATTGCTCGCAAACTTTATGATTAGTACTTTTAGTGTGGGTTTATTCAAAGAATGTTAAAGCTCATTGAGCCAACACTAGTATTTTTATTGGTTATTAAATTCGGTCACATGATGCAATCCGGATCGGATTATATATCATGTGTAACTACCTGAAAATAAATTTAATTCTACTTGGTAAATCAAATTTTCACATTTCAAAAAATATTTTACTTTTGCGTCTTCTACGCAATGACGAAACGTCGACAAAGATTTAACGCGAAAGGGAGAAACCTCGTAAAGGATAATGCGCAAGCAAAGATTACCCCCGTCACTGATGAAAAGTGAGTAACGGGATCGTATAGTTTTAGTGACGGACATTATTTTCACGTAAGATTTTGTAAAAGGGAGTCTTCTAGCAATTTGGATACAAATGCCTTTGAAATAGAAATTAAGAGTAAAGAAGAACGAGAAAGAGAAAATTTAGAAAAAAGAATTAGAGACGAGGTATGGGATGGCTTTAGACATCATTGAAATGATATCATGAATTACTTGTACACGTCTTGATTACTTGAAAAATAAAGAAAAACTATTACTCCTACTCCTAATTGGTTCATAAAAGTTCATTTGATTAATCAAAAAATGTATAGTTGGAAAAATCTCCCAGGAAAATGACGAGTAAAAAGAAGAAGCGACTTGATAATTATATTGTAGGTACTGATTAATTCACAGTCTATCTTCTACTTGATGGTTGTTGTTTTAACTTGTCTGATTAAATCTTGATACCTGATATAATACATTACAATTTGAAAATATAAAAATAAACAATAGCAAAAGAAATTAAAAAAAGTAGAGCGTGTAATCATGCTTGAAAAATTATCCAAATCCTCATTTTCTTCTAACCTTATGAAATCGAGCCGAAGATTGGGACAGGGGGTAAATATTATTGTGAAAATAATTGGTTGCTTTATGTCTTATATCTATTCGATTCTGAGATGTTTTATGTTATTCGATTAGCGTGATACAATGCGAGAGAAAATACGTAAAGCCCTTTACGAAGAAAAAATGGGATTGCCACGATCTGATCCAAATGTTCCATTATTTACCGAGCATGCTGATACACAAAAAGACTATAGTAGTAGCAGTAATATTAGTGGTAGCAATAGTGAAACTGAGGAAGAAGATGAAAAATTAAACACCTTGAAAAAAAAAGATTATTCCAATCCCCAAGATCAAATTAACTCGGAAGATAAAAAATCGATAGGAACCCCTACCGTAATTATTGGAAGCGCGTTAAAACGAGGACCTAACGAAGAATTTATAACGCCCCCCAAAAAAAAGAAGAAAAAGAAAAAGGTGTTGTCTATTAATATCGATTAAATCATAGATATGATAACTAAAATTTAAGTCTATTTTTTCCCCGTTTTTAGGAAAGAAGGATTAAACGTCAATTGACGGAAGAAGATGACGACTCTCTTGATAATAGCTCGAATTCTGACTTTGATAGTGATAAAGAAACTGGCTCATTAAATATGAAAGAGATTGAAGATGAGACAAATTCAAACTTTGAATCTAAACGAAAAGCGGAATCGTTCAAAGAATGGGCTATTGAGCAAATGGGAATGAAACCAAAAGATAGCGAGAATACGAATCTAAGTCATATTCAATTACCTAAAATAATAAGTGATGGTCAAGACATTACTAGTGATGAATTTCTTATTTACGATGCAGTTGAAAATAAACAACCTAAAAAGGTAATCAATCTATCATATTTTCTTTATGAGAAGGATAGTTATTTTCATATTAATATTATTTTTTCCTTTAGGCGTTTTATGTCACCGTTAAAAGAAAACCCGAGATACAAGCAGCGCGTATTGAACTTCCTATTTATGGAGAGGAGCAAATTATTATGGAAGCCATCATTGAGAATCCTGTTGTAATAATTTGCGGAGAAACAGGATCGGGAAAAACTACACAAGTTCCTCAATTCTTATATGAGGCTGGATATGGAAATCCAAATAGCGGCAAGTTATCGAGATTTATCACGGAACTTTTCCATCTTAAAACTTGGATTGACATTTTATTCGTATAACAGAAAATCCTGGAATTATCGGGATCACTCAACCACGTCGAGTTGCTGCAGTGAGCATGTCTAAACGAGTAGCAGAAGAATTGTCCTTAACTGATAAGGAGGTTTCTTATCAGGTTGGTTAATTTATTGTATAATAATATTATTACTATTCGTTATATTTTATTCTTTGTTTTTGTGGATTGTATTTAGTGAAATCGAATATTTCTCTAATATAATGTTTCTTTTAGATTCGTTATGACGCAACAACATCCTCCAAGACAATCATAAAGTTTATGACTGATGGCGTTTTACTACGTGAACTTGCGGGAGATTTCTTATTATCACGCTATTCAGCCATTATTATCGATGAGGCTCACGAAAGAAGCTTAAACACTGATATTTTGATTGGTGTTGTAAGTCGAGTTCTTCGATTGCGTGCTGAATTGTCGGAAGAGGAAAAGGGCAAAATTAGTGTTTGTTTTCTAATGAATCTATTTTGATTTAAAATTAATCAAGTTTTTTTTTAAAAAAAATTAACAAATATCTATTTTTTTAATAATAGCCGTTAAAGGTTATTATCATGTCAGCCACATTACGTGTTTCTGATTTCACGGAAAATAAAATGCTCTTCAAAATTCCTCTTCCCGTGATAAGTGTTAATGCTAGACAATTTCCGGTAAGTGAAAAAAAAGAACAATACAAACGAATTCAGCTTGGCGATTAATAATTGATTCATATGAAATTTAGGTATCTATTCATTTCAATAAACGTACACCAAAAATTGATTATGTCGCTGAAGCATACAAAAAAGTGTGCAAGATACACACAAGACTTCCACATGGAGGTATGTCACCTTTCGCTATACGCTAGTAGGGATTGCTTTTTTTTGCATGTTAAATATCCTGTCTTTTTAGGTATTCTTGTCTTTCTGACCGGACAAAATGAGATCTCGATTATTTGTAAAAAACTACGGAAGAAATTCTCGAATATTCAATCTAGTAGTAAACAGTACTATCAGGAACAACAATCTATGAATGAGAGCTTTGAAAAGTCGAGAGAAAATTTAACGGCTAAAGAAGGTAAAATTATTTTTATTTTGCTTAACTGCTGATTATTCATTCATTCATTTATTTATTTATTATTTTGTTTGGTTAATTATATTATAGCTGATATTGAGCCTGAGGAATTAGCCATTGGTGATAATGAAGATGAACCAGAAACCTTTGAATCACAATCCGATGATACAGAAGAGGAAGAAGGATTTGATAACGATGAAAGTGAACAAGAAACAGCTGCTCCACTCCACGTTCTTCCATTATATTCTTTACTTTCAATCCAAGCACAAATGCGAGTTTTTGAAACTCCACCTGAAGGAACTCGTTTATGTGTAATTGCAACAAACATCGCAGAAACTTCACTTACGATTCCCGGAATCAAATATGTGGTCGATTGCGGCAAAGTTAAAGAGCGACAATACGATATTGCCACAAATGTGCAATCATACGGGATTGATTGGACTTCGAAAGCATCTGCAGATCAAAGAGCTGGTCGTGCTGGTCGGACAGCTCCGGGACACTGTTATCGTCTTTATTCGTCGACTGTATTTCATGAACAATTTGAACAATTTTCTACACCTGAAATTCTTCGCATGCCAATCGAGGGTGTAGTTTTGCAAATGAAAGCAATGAATATCGATACTGTTGCAAATTTCCCATTTCCGACTCCACCTGATCGTAATCAACTGCGTAAAGCGGAGAAATTACTTGAATATTTGGGTGCATTAGATGAAAATAGTCGAATTACCGAATTGGGCCGAACAATGTCGACGTTCCCGATTTCACCTCGATTCGCAAAAATGCTTATAATTGGTCCACAACATGGTTGTCTTCCATACGTTATTGCATTAGTTTCTCTATTATCAGCTGGTGATCCGTTTATCAAAGAGTATCAACTTGAGAATCTTGATGATGCTGCTCGTGAGCCTAAAGATGACAATAACGATAATAAAAATGACGATGTTAACGATGAAGATGAAGATATTAGGTTCCAGAACCAAGAGCTTAACCAGATTCAAAAATCGAAAATAGCCGAAAAAGAACAAAGAAAATTAAAGAAACGTGAATTCTTTAAAGTTCAACAGGTATAATATAAATGAATTGACGTTTTATTTCCCTAGAGAATATGTTTATTAATCGTTTTTCCTAATGTACCTTAGAAACATGCTGGTCTTGATCCAACTAGTGATATTTTCAAATCTTTGAATGTGGTTGGTGCATATGAATATGCTGGTGGAACAGATGATTTCTGTGAAAAGAATTTTGTTCGGCAAAAGGTAAATAAGGAATTCTATTTAATTAAATGTAAAAACATGATTAATTATTATTATTATTGTTATTAGACTATGCAAGAAATTCATAAACTTCGAGGCCAAATCACAAATCTCGTTTTGTCTAATTGTCCAGGTGTAGACGTGTACGTGGATCCAAAAATGAAACCTCCCTCTAATGCACAGGTGTATTTTTATCATTGTTGTCTTAATCAATAATAACATTTTATTTCTCTTGTATTGAAAATCCTCGATTCTTCGTACACAATTAATAAATCTAGCTCAAAGTTCTCCGCCAAATAATCACCGCCGGTTTTATTGATCAAGTAGCTATTCGTAAAGGTCTGGTAGACAAATCCGCAGCTTCGTTTAGTTCAACACGTGGTGTTGCCTATGCGACTATGTGGTCTGATGAAGATGCATTTATTCATCCTTCATCTGTTTTATATCATGGCGAGCCGCCAAATTTTGTTGTATACCAAGAATTACAACGAACTACTAAAGTCTGGATGAAAGGTTAGAAAATGATTTGATCTGCCTCACAAAAAATTTTTTGAATGGAATAATAAATGCTTATATTTTAGGTGTTACCGCTGTACAACCTAATTGGCTTTCTAAGCTCGGAAAGTCATTGTGCACGTATTCAAAACCTGGGAATTTGCCGATAAAGTAAAGATTACTTGTATTTATTTTGTGATATAAAAGATGCTTATTATTAATGAATTGTTAAATTCAAAATGCAGGCATTCTTCGACCACTAAAAATCATAAAGACGTAGAAATGATTTCATTCGTAATACCCTCCTTTGGTCCAAAAAGTTGGGAATTGCCGCCTGTTAAAGCTATAGCAAGGCTAGTCAATGGACGTTGGGTTCATGGAAAAATTTAACACACTATTCATTTAACAGAAATTTTATTGTTTTATTTGTAACATGTAATATCAGAATGGAAACTAAATTACAAAAATTATATATATAATTTGCTTGTTTCTATGCTCTATTGGTGATATTTTGGCCAGCTATGCACGATGATAATAATTATAAAAATACGTTGAAATATATATATGCTTAATAGTAAAGAATCAATACAACTAAACTTATAAATAAATAAATAAATAAATAATAATAATAATAATAATAATAATAATAATAATAATAATAATAATAGAAAATGATGCAAAAATGTTTGTTGAGATAACAATGCAAAAATTTTTATAATGGTATCTCGTCGATACAAAACCACTGCTTCACAATGATGATAATAGAAATATCATTGTGAAGCTAGGTATTTACCACTCACCACCTGGCAAATAACCTCTTCGAATTCAATTAATTCATCCTTCTGTTGGGAAAACCCATTCACATTTTCTGATGATGAAGAGGATAAAGGCGGTGGTGAACTAGCTTCCAAAGAAATACTGCTCAACAATTGTCCCTTACAAGTAAATTTTACCGCAGTCAGTGACGGTTTTGAATTATTTTTGGTGTCAAATCGTGTCAAAAGATGTTTTTTTTCAGACGAAGAAAGATCTAAGTCACCAATCTGCCATACAATTATCTGCTTTTCAACGTTCCAATTACAAGTCGGTTTAGAAGCAGGTTTTCCAACTACTTCGCCATCAACTGGTATCAAGAACGAAAGATCCGAAAGAGTCCCAGTGAGCTTAAAATTCGGATTCGGCTGGTAGTTTACTGCAAAAGCTGTTTTGTTTGGTTCACATTTCCATTGTGGAACAATCTGAATTGGTACATATTCGTCCTTATGTTCTGGATCTATGTGCACTTGGTATTTCATGATTACGACTGGTGCACCACCTGCAAAGGACAACATTTCCATGTTGACCTCGTATTCGCCTGCTTCGCCCGATGTGCTTGGATTAATATACGATGAATTTGGCGCAGCTTTATCCAATATAGAAAAGTTTGTTATCTTGAGTTTTACAGGTTGGACAGTTGTACGATTTGAGATAAGACTTATTTCTCCAGTTACTGATATTTTTGCCACTTCACCGCCTTTGATAATAACATTCAACACCTCAGAAATAGTTGCACGCAATCCTTGTGAATTTTTCGAAGTACTAGGAAGAGGCACCCGATAATTAGCTTCCGAAGATGTCAATGAAGTTGGTGAAGATGTCGAACTACTCATTTCCGGAGTTACAGCTGGTCGTATTTCAATAGGTAAATCAGAGAAAACACCATTACTACCATTATCAGAATCGAGAATAGTCTTTCTATAATGGCTTCTAAAAATATCAACAAAAATCTATGTAAAATCATTTTTGCACACAAGACATGTTTAAACGAAAAAAAAATTATTGACTCACTCTCTTCGTCCACGACGATTTCGACCCAAGCTCAGAGTACTTTGCTGCTGTATAACAAAATTAATTGACGATCAATCAGTTACTATGAACGATGATTAAATCAGTAGATAGAAATTATGCATACCGATCTCAGAGTATTAGTAACATGTTTAATAGCAGTTTCTGCTTCTTCATCGTTATTTTCAGGAATAGTTTCATTCTTGATTTCAACACGAATTCTTTTGTTGAAAAAATTGATATGAATTACACTAATTCAATAATAATAAAATTATTTCTCGTATTCGAATACCTCATTGCCTCTGATTTGGTATCAGAATCTTCATCGCCTGAGAAATCCTCATAAGATCTATCCGGAGGAGGGCCATCAATATCGACAATCACTTTTGGCTGAATGATTATTAAACGGATCATTAAAAATATACCAATACTATATATCAAAAAAATCAAAAATTGCATTTTGATTCACCCAATACGTGAGAACACTTACTATCGGACTATCGACTGATGTGGAAGAATCTTGTTGATTATGAGAATTATTGAGATTGTATGGCGTAATATTCAACTCTTCACCCACAAGATCATTTTCTTCGAGTTTTGTATGACTTGGCATTTCTCTATCGATATGAGAGAAAAATGCTTTAGAAATAAAAATAAAGAATTAAATATTCTTTCGGTAAGAGTGATTTAATAAAACATACGAGGAATGGTTGGAGGTTGCTGTTTTCTTACGCCGCATTGTGCCAATAGCGGTTTTTACTGTATTGTTATCACACACAAGATGATTGTTTAATTGTTTGCGGTTAAGGAGAAGATGTGTGTTGGAAATATTACGATGAACTTACATTTTGAGCTGTTGCTGGTTGCTGATGTAACAGAAATATTAGAAAAATCGTTTAAATTATTTCCTATTTAATAAACACAAAATGTTTTTCTATTTGATTAGTAAATTTTTAAATATTTGTAATTTCCAGATCATAGGTAGTAAATGGATAACACCTTCTATTTTCTGTAAGCAGAAATTTTCAATTTCGCTCAAAACGTCAAAAGTAAACACGGTTTCTAGTGTTCGTTCCGCCATCTATTTGATCATTTGCTAGATATTAATTCGTAATTTAAAAACAATATTTACAATTTATTGTTGTTATGTAATTACCAATACTCTCTTTTGACAAGTTTCAACTTGTATAGTTTCAAAGCGTGCAATGCTCTCTTTAAGATTAGTAAGACGTGCTTCATCGACTGATTGATATTTCTGCATTATTAAAAAGATCCTAAGTAAATACAGATATTGAATGCATATATCCAAATAAAGATAATGCTTACCTCCAAAATATGTGGCGCTTCCCGCAACCATTCATGCTGACTATTGTCTAGAACTTTTTGTGCCTCTTTAAGCTTCATCTCTGAGATATTAAATATATATACAGATAAACACTTATAAAACTAACAACTATTAACAGAGTTTCGTTTATTTCTTATAACTTACCAGAAGCTTCGTGTTTTTTCCCTGTGAGTTTTTCGTTCTTGGATTTGAGCTATTTTATAAATCAGTTTATAATTCAATATTTAATTGTAGAAATCGCAACAATTGTCAAAAGAAGAAAATAGTATTTTTTGGCAAATTAAAAGAAAAAAATGCTTGGAATAATGATTCTTGTATTAAATATCGTGAATTTCAAAAAAAAAAAACATGCTTTATGAACATCTAAGCAATCACCGTAATACACCCAACATGTAATTACCTAATTTTGAGGTATCGATCATCGTACCTTGTTAACTTTCAGAAGCCTCTCCTCGTGATCTTTTACTATTTTTCCTAAGGTAGTTTCATACTATTTAAAATAAACCATTTAATACCAATACCAATATGGAAAATGAACTCGAAGGATAAAAATGGCAATATACATTCTTCAGTTGCAACCAGTCTTCAGAGGTAGCATTTCCGCGTATAGGAGCCTCGACTTCTTCAGAAATTTTCTCGACAAATAAGGAATGTACGTTGGATATTTCGGTAACTTCTTGAAAAAGTGGTTCCCAAACATTTGAAAAAGCACTTTTTATTTAATTAAAAATAAAAACGTATGATCATTATTATTATTAAACTGATATATTTTGGTGAATACTTTATTATGAAATATATACCCCAATATTGACTTGTCGGACATGAAATTCTTTTTTGATGATAATCTTTGAAGACTTTTTACATAAGCGTCTTCAATCGCAGCTCTGGATAACACGTTAAAATGGAGATCGGGTTAAAGTATTTGCGAAATCTTTAAACGTTGAAAGAATAAGGTTTTGGTAATTTTGCACCTTTCACTAAAGTATAAGGCTAGCTCGTCATTTAGTAGTTTTGCCTTTCTTAATCTTGCTTGGATCGCATCAAAAGCCTCTTTGGGACGTAAGTGCTAGAGAAAATACGGTACAAGTATTAAGTGCAAATCGCTCTATATGCTGCAAATTGTCAAAGCTCACCAGAAAAGCGTGTGTGTATGTCATGTTAACCGCCTCTGGCGACATATCCGGAGAGGTAGGTGAATTTAACGAGGGTGAGTGTGTTGGTCCGTTGACCGGTTCCATAATTAGGTAAAAAGTGTAAACGTATTGTGAAAGTTTTATAAAGATCAACAAAAATTGTTTATCAGCTTGGATGCTATTAGATATTAGATTGTACACCGAATTTGCGGTGGTCGTACCACAGTTCAACTTGCAACCCGAGTATGTCGGATAATTTAACCATAGAAAAACTTCCTGTGGAAGTTTTGCAACAAATATTTATATTTTCTAGTAATCATAACTTTCCTCTTGTGTCGCGTACCTTTTATCAAATCGCAACAGCACACTCAAGCGTGAAAACGCACTGGCTACTACACAAAGTCCACTACGATTTTAAGCATGTGTTAGATCGTGGTCTCAAATGGAAGTTCTTCAACAAAGATATACTGCTGCAATTGGATAACCTTTATTATCAATCACAAGTTAATTCCGAATCGATGAAACCCACCACATTCATTCCTTTTGATGAGGGCTCCATCCCACCACGATTGCTTACTATGCCTGATCCGGACGGAAAGGCATATGAAATGGTAAAAATTTTATTGGATCGAGGTGCGTCCCCAGATGAGCCTCAAGGTTATCCACTACTGAAATCTGTATCGCTTGGACGGTTAGCTATGGCCAGACTTTTGATATCGTACAAAGCGAACGTCAGTATCGGTGATAATTCGGCGATGTTGATTAGCGTTGATAAAAATAATTTTGATATGGTGAAATTATTAATGGAACATGGTGTGAAACCAGATGCAAAATCATTGGAAAAGAGTATTAAAAAGCATTTGTCTGAAATGACTCAATTCCTATTAGATCATGGAGCAATTCCGGACGGAAACGTTATTGCTGCAATTCATAATGACACTCATTGAATCTCCTACTCTTTTAAGCAACTATGTAATAGACAAAATATAAGATATTCTTTACGCATAGAAAATTTAATAATAATAGAAAAAATAGATACTGTTTACGGCATAGAATACAATAAATATTGGTTTAATATCTCTAATATCAAATTGCAAGTCACTTTTTCAGTTTTTCTGTCAATTCGGGAACGGCAGTAAAAAGATCTGCGACTAAACCGAAATCTGAAATCTATAAATACCATTCAGCGAAATGAAATATTGAATACACTGTACAATATATCCCTTCTTACCTGGAAAATGGGAGCATCTGGATCATTATTAATAGAAGCTATAACTTTACTATCTTTCATTCCAGCAACATGTTGTATTGCACCACTAATTCCCACAGCTAAATAGAATTCTGGATAAAGTATTTATAATGATTATGATTATGATTAATGTCAAAAGGAAGATTAAAACACAAGATAGGCATAAAGATAAAATAATAACCTGGAGCTACAACTTTTCCCGTTTGTCCAACCTAAGCCAGTGTTTAATCGAGTTATTAAAGTGTGAATATGTGGATTGAGATAAGTTGTATGTTTGATCTAAAACGAACCTGCAAAGCATTATCGCAATATCCTGAATCTACAGCAGCTCGTGAACCACCAACTACAAAATTAGATATAGGTAATTAAAATGTAATGCATCAATTATGCTGAAATATGTACTTACCACCTGCATCGAGAGCATCAGCAAGACTATATACAAGTTTATCAAAGTTTTCTCGGCTTTTTAGAGCTCTCCCTCCAGACACAACCTTTTTGGCTGATCCTAATTCAGGACGATCACTTTTTTGGATCTCCTCGCCAACCCATTCAGCAAGAGTTGGCTTTTCTGCATCGGGTGCAGATTCCCTGCTAACTTCCGCATCAACAGTGGTGGCAGGTGGAAACGTTGTACTACGAATTGTAAGTACCTTTACTGGGTCAATGGACTTGACTTTAGCAATGGCATTTCCTATTTCACATTACAATAATGAATAAAATCAATAAAATCAATAACTAGATGTATTTAGAGGCCAATACGAATAAAACACTGACCTGCATAAATTGGCCTGACAAAAATTTCTGGAGATTCTATATCAATAACATCAGAAATTTGAGCAACATCCAAAAGTGCAGCAACACGCGGCAAAATATTCTTGCCAAAAGCGGAATGCGAAGCTACCAAATGAGTAAAATTAAGTTTTTTTTGTGCTGTTGTCAATAGAGGCGCGTAAACTTCCGGAAGACCGTGTTCGTATACTTTATCCTTGGCGACAAGCACTTTCGAAACACCATCAAGCTTAGATACTGTTTTAGCTATCGAGTCAGGATTTTCACCCGCGATCAAAGCTGTCACACTACCGCCCAACTTTTTGGCGGCTGTGAGTGCATTTAATGTAGACACTGCGAGTGCATTATCTTTGTGTTCGACAAGAAGAAGAGTGGAGATCTCTTGAATGGCACTAGTAGCAGCGTATCGACGCGAAATTGATGAACAAATCTTGTAATTCGTAGTTTTCAAACCTACGGCTGAGCGAGAGGTTTTAACGAACTGTAAAGTTGGATATCGAAGTGAAAATGAAAACATTTTAGATAATAAAATAACAATTTATCAAAAATACACGTACAGAGGGATCAACTAAAATTAGGACGATCGTAAAAAAATTTTAGTATGTCGCGGTATATGGCAATTAAAATTGAACCTGCATACGTATTTTTGTCTGCTAATAAAAGATGTTCAATTTACTATTTAAATACAATCAAATTGTATATACAAATTGATCGTAACAAAGACCTTACTAACAAAGAAATGTCACTCAAGAAAGAAAGCATGTCTGCTGCAAAAAATTGCACGCATCCTTGGACGATCAGCTACTAGTCAAGAACCGTATCAAATGATTAAAATTAACCAATAATACCAAAGAAAAAATCACATTGTTGATCAACGTTTTAAACGTCTAATTCTTCGAAAAAGCCAACAATAAGGAGGATGCCAAAGCACCTGCTTGCTGCTGAAATCTCGTCCAATCACACCCAAAAATACCCTGGTAAAAAACTAAAGAAAAATGGTATCCAATCTCATATTGTAAAAAACCAATGATTAGTGAAATAAATCGAATCAAACGGTTAAAAAAACACAAGAATTGGACCAAAAAAGATTGGCGACGTGTTCTTTTGATTGATGAGTCCTGATTCACATGGAAAGGTCCGTGTTTGGTGTCATAAAGACGAGCTTTATGATCCTAATTGCGCACAAGCAACTGTTAAAAGTGGGCGCAAGTCTATTATGGTCTGGGGATGCAATTTAAACCATTTAGTTCCCGTTCCATCACGTATGAATGGAGAGAAATACGGAAATCTGTCAAAATAACATCAAAAATACGTGTAAAAAAATTGATTTATTTACTCATAGAAACCCTAACAACTATAAATACAGCCATTACTTTAAAAACTGCGTAATACGAACTTTTTTAAAATTCTGGCGTGTCTACTGTGGTGACGATGATAATAATAATAATATTAAACATTGTAAATTATAATATGCCAGAAATATAGTAATTTTTGAGGGAAAATGCAGTCATGGGAAGAATGCGTGTATATGTATGTTTTTTTTTACTTGATTCTTTTAAATTAGTAATAAGGAACTACTAATGTATTGATTAACCAATTTTCCTACGGAAAGAACACCCTATTGGATATATAGAAGTGTTAGCCAAATCATTAACAGTAACAAAAATCAGAAATAAACGAATTTTGATTCTTTTTTTCTAACGATACCTTCAGTTAACCGAGCTCGACCACCTGTAGGCTGACATAATACGTTAGCACATGACCCACATAAAACTACAGTCTGTGCATGGCTAAAGACTGTCGTGATACTAAAGCATCCTATTTTATTATTATTTTTTCGGTCATATATTTAATTGTAATAAGAATAGTAGTAATGAACAAAATCCTGGAAGTCAAGCCTAGTAACACAAACCTGGACATTTAACATCCATGAAATATGAATTTGGGCTCTGCACCAATCTTTTAAGTTTGTGTTGTCGTTTTTCATGTTCCGGCGTTGGGTTGAGAAGATCGATTGCTAACTATATTTAAGAAGTAAAATGAGCATCAGAAGAAATTAGACTTAGTAATTGAATACAGTGAATTAAAGAAAATTTGATATTATTGGTTTCAGTTACGCGTGAGATTTTTGGTATATTTTCTTTAATGTGGTCTTTTACTATCAGTTTAGCATACAAAAATGGTTAAATTTTTCTTAAAGTAACTGAAATTGTCTCCAATTAAATGAACAAAAGTTCATTTGAAAAAACCGCAGTCGAATTAAAAAAAAATATCAAATTATCCAACCATCCATCAACTCCTCAAAAATCAAACTGCAACCAGTTCTGTTAAGTCGAAATTTAGCGAACCGAAACCAATAACCAAAAGCTCTCTAACACTAAAATACATACCACCATGTTGTATAAATCTTTGTCTTGTATAGAAGAAGGCAAAAAAAGTTTCTGGAAAATCAGTGAACCATTTTATATTGATCAACAAAAATTTTTTTATTTTTTTTCAACTGGTTATGGACCCTAAAATTTAGGGTTTTTTTCAATCGATAGAAAATAATTTTTTTTGCTTCGTTATTTACGTTATTTATTAATAAAGAGGTGTGTGTATTATTATTCCTTATTAATTTATTATTTTTCTAAATTTTTATTTCTATTTTGTAGCTTTTGCTAAAAATGACTACAGAAGCTGTACAAACTTATGGTCGTAAGGTTTGTATAGCTAGAAATGTTTTCAGATACTCAATATTTAGGCATTTTAAAAAATCAATAAAAACTATATTAATGAGAATATCGAATTGATTGATTTTTGAAATTATACATAAACACAACAAATTTGCTGCTAATCATCATAAAAAAATATAACAAAATACAGAAAACCGCAACAGCGGTCGCCCACTGTAAACGCGGTAAAGGGCTCATCAAAATCAACGGATCACCAATACACCTGGTAGAGCCCGAGATCCTGCGATTCAAAGTTTACGAACCGATCCTAATTCTGGGCCAAGAGAAATTCGATAACGTGGATATTAGAGTGCGAGTGCAAGGCGGTGGTCACACATCCCAAGTATACGCTATTCGCCAAGCGATCGCCAAAGCAATCGTCGCTTTCTATCAGAAATATGTGGACGAGGCACAAAAGAAGGAAATTAAAGATTTGTTGATTCGTTATGATCGAACTTTACTTGTTGCTGATCCGCGTCGTTGTGAGCCAAAAAAATTTGGTGGACCGGGTGCTCGTGCTCGGTATCAAAAATCATATCGTAAATATTTTTTTATTATTTTTATCATTAATCATTTTTTTTTGATTTAATAATATTATTCTTTTTGACAATAGGTTAAAAATCGTTTCATTATTTTTGATGATGGTAATAAAACTCATAGAAAATATATTATTGTTATTATTATATTTTTCACTGAAAAATACATTGTCATAATTTTATTATTAATCGATGTCAATATTTATAAAAGGAATAATACTAAGGAAGAATCATGACAGAATAAAATGAAATCCCTTTAAACAATGTATTTTTATATCAAATTTTCTAATATATTTGCAAAGAAATCGCAAATCGAAATAATGATACATAGTGAGACCAATAAATCTTTATCGCTTTGAAATTGCTTCTATTCGCGCTTGACTCCTTTTTTTTGACCAAGATATCTGCGACGTTGGTAAATCATATGCGTGTACATTGTATAGAAACCTAAATTCATTTTTTAATTAATCTTTACTGAAACAAAATATGATGCATTTAAATATAAATATAAATAGCTTACCGGGTGGATAAGTCAACAAAGCAAATATCTTCACATAATATATATAAGTATAGTCTTTGAGGTATGGAAGTGACTGATAAATGAGTATCGCTTCGCTTCCAGCGCCAAGAGGATACAAGACAAAGAAAAATGTATATCTGTGATTTTTATTTATATAAATAAGAGTATTATGTATCAATTTAAGTGAGCAATGGTCATGATTCTTGAAATCACGCTCATTTTTTTTTTACCTTGCCCAAATTAAAGAAGCCGGCTGTATGTCTAAAAGATTAAAACCATAATAAGCGTATCTTACGGTTTCCGTAACACTCCACGCAATTGTCATTGTCGTAAATGCCCAATGCGTGCGAACCTTTAGGATGTTAAAGTGAATTTTTTTAATTGATCCATTATTCAGAATTATACCAAACTTAATATGCGTTAAAAGATTTTACCTCTGGAAATAAATCAACTATGCCCCAGACAAGGAATAAACGGGATGTCACTTGGATTATAGTGGTCATAAGGGGCGATTTCACGAGACCTAATAAAGAAATAAACAAATAAATAAATAATCGAAATACGCAATAAGCCATAGAAATTAATTTCCATATTCTTACCAACCACTACATGAAACACCTTTTGACAAGTATATATAAAAAGTTATTATAGACCATTGATAGTTTCGTAATATTAAAGAATCAAATGCGACAAAAAAAGAACTTACCTCGAGAAGAGCAATAGTTTGCACAAACTTCAATAAAACACCGACATTATCATATGATTTGGTATAGTCACCTTGGTTTTTTACCAATTCCAAAACCGTTTGCGCTAACAGATATGTCCAACCAGCCCACGAGACAGCATTATAAAGAACGAGATAACCATTTTTGACACTGAAACCTATTGAAAAAAGTTAGACATATAGTAAGGAGGTCACAAAAAAATAGTATTTAATGACTTGCCAGAGTTATTTGTATTTTTTGAAATTTCGGCCATTTTGTTACAACAAACTCTGAGAATGAAACATTTCGTGTCTTAAGTTCGCGCGCTGTGAAATTCACGTGAAAATCTGTTCTCGCGTGCTAAAACACCAAATTTGGATAGTATGATCAATGCATAATTTGTCACGTGTACTTAACATACCGTTGGATAAGTTTTGCTACTTCGCTACATATTAAATGCGATTTTTTATTAAGTAAACGTGTTCGCAGTAATGAATTACACTTAATATGAAATTTTTACGGAAATTCGACGAAATATTATTAATAGGTTTGGCCATTTAAAAAAATATTTTATTTTTCATAGACTTTAAATAGCTAATAAAATTTCGTAAAAATTTCACTGAATGTATTACTGTGAGCAGGTTTACTTAATACATTTTTCTAATAAAAAATCGTGCTTAATGTATCGAATTTACGAATAGTATTCAGAATTCTTAAATTTAATATAAAAGTCTGAAAACACGATTTTTTACTAGCGCAAGTATATTATTATTATTATTATTATTATTATTATGATTATGATTATGATTATGATTATGATTATGATTATGATTATGATTATGATTATGATTATGATTATGATTAT